TTGCGCCATCTGAATCCATTGATCATGATGATGATGATGAAATGAGAAGGTACAATTTTAGTATTTATTTAATTTATTCATCAAAATGAGCTTAAACTCAAACAAAATTATTATGACTTAATAGGTATTTTCAATACCTTTCAAACGAGGTATCACTTGCATAAGGTCCCATTTAAAATTATCTGTCAGTGGCGCTGAAACGTCATCTGTCAGTATTACGTCACCTGTTATGACTAGTTGAGAAGCCTACTATTACTACAGAAGTCTGTTTATTACCTCCCTCCAAATTTCACTATTATGGCAATAACCGTTCAAAAGATACGAGGGGGGAACGGACTTTTGACTAGCAGTGTATATATTTGTTCATGTTTCCTTGTTTACAGATTCTTTACCAAAAGTTTTAGTGTTAAAATTTTAAATTACCAATGAGTATTCTTTAAGGCAATGAGTAATATTATCAACGAGTATAGATGCATATAGAAGACCATATCCACGTAATTTTTAGGTATATGCACTGACGTAATAAGATTTTACTCCTGTTCTGGGGTCATGTGAATGCCTCGAGGTCGTGTGCATAGAAAGCTTAGTAATATTTTTTTGTATTTTACAAAATTATAGATCAAATCCTACAGATGCGCCATTTTTTTTTGTAGAAAAACAAAATAATATTTTAACTTTTAATAATTTTTAATAACTGAATATTTTTGAATTATAAACAATATTGTGACTTAAATTTCAGTTTATGCTATCTACAGGAGTATTTTAAAGTACATTTATTAACCAATGGATAAAGTGCCCATTTGAAAGGTGCTTCTATAAGCCTCTATATTCATTAACGTCACTGACTAATACAAACAATTATAATTATAAAAATGTTTAGTTTTGAAAATACTCAAAAATATTACAAACAACAGATGAACGTTCTTGCTCTGTTTACCTTTCCTGCACGGTTTACAGTAATAAATGTGGAAATAGTTCTCTTTTTTCCTTCATACATGTAAATTACGAATAATTCTTGATCAAACAATAAATAGCGGTAATGTACCCATAATTAAATATAAAATAGTTATTTTTTTACTTTACGAAAAGTTACTTTTGTATCTATTAACGAATACGATTCTACTGACTAACTGTCAAGGATACAATATCAACAAAATTGAAATTTCAATTAAATTCTAGAAAGGGTCAATTGCATTGTCTCCTTTTAATCAATTTCCTTACTTTTATACTGGCATTAGACAGACTTCGTGAATAAAATTCATTTTATATCAATTTCCTCACTATACACTAAATAACAAAAATATATCTAAAACTGTTAAAAAAATTGTTCTTTAAAAAATACAACTTACAGTCGTTAACAATATGTATGTAAAAATGTTTTACAAATTCAAAATGTTACATCACATTATCAAGAGCGAGACACATGACGAAAGTTTAAAATTAAATAAACTAAACTCTAAAAACTACTGTTTGCAAAATAAAAAAAAACAAACATACGATACTATTTTGGTTGGAACTTGTTAGCTTTGATATTCTAATATTTAAGAGTATATTAGAGCGTGCAAAGAGCCTCTTATGTAAGAGTGGAGAAATTACGTATACAGCGAGTGAGTTTTGTAACTCATACGAGTGCATCATAGGGTTACCAGGGGATGGTAAAAAAATTAAAAAAATATTGATCTCTCGACCTTTCCCTCATAGGAGTAGAATATTAATATTACAGTCACAATAAATTATTATATTCTTGTTTCATATCCTTGAAAGATGCCAAAAGCATGTCAAATTAACCCTACATTGCATAGCGTTGCTTTCAGGCAACACCGAAATTAAATTCAGTTAGAAAACTAATCTTTTGCCTTTCAGTGATTTTAAAGTGCATATTGTGTAGCCAAACAAACATTCTATCAAAATGATCACGCAACTCCCATGTCATTATACCAAACAAAGTTTTCGCACCAATTGCTCACGATATAACACAATAAACAAAAATTAGGGAGACCTATGTCCAGCATTATATGCCAAGGGCTGAGTGATGATGTTGATTATAGTTGTTCAAGTATAGCTTTTATATAGAAGAGATTGCAATTCTTTAAAAATACCAAAAAAAGAATAATTACCTCTATTAGATTTCAAAGCAGAAATTTCACAAACTATTTGCTTGAAAAATATGTTAAATTGTTCTAAAAGAGAGCGTTCATCTCATTCTCAAGTGTCTACGGCATACGAGGGAAAGGAAAAGAAATGTCATGCAACAGCACCTATATAAGAAGTCAGAAAAGATCCAATGGGTCATTGACCCATATGTATGTATGTATGTAAATTATGATATTTACATATTCCCAAAAGGAATATGTAAATATTATAATTTTAAAGGAGCTCCCAAATTTAATGCCAAAAATGAAAATTATTTCTTTGTTCCACTACAACTTCTAATTGGTTTAAGAATTTTCATACAGAATAAAGTTTTATGTTGAACTTTTCACATGTTGCCTACAGTACACATTCCATATGTTCCAAAAAGGAGGACAACTAAAAAATTAGTCTCTAGAGGAATTCTTAAATTTATCTCGAAAGCTATGTCAAAACAAGTACTGATTTTTAGTGTACCTACTTAAAATTCATACAATACAGGGTTTAAAACAAGTTAAATAACCTTTCATTTTTTGTTTCTAATCAAAAAATGCCCCAACCAATGATGCAATAATTAATACAGGTAAATATTATGAGTGGAAAAAAATTAATAAAAATTCAGATATTTCTCTTAAACTTATGTTTCATATAACCTTTATAAATATGTTCTCCACCTATTCATAAATAAGCATGCACGCCTAGTAGGGCACTATTTCGACACTGATACTCACTAATTTATTTAAGGACTCAACATAGGGGTAGCATAAAAAAAATTCGGTGCCCAACTGACCACGGTTCACGTGATGTGTATTACCATCCATAAAGCTGTCTTTATAATAGTTAAACTTTTATTCTTAATTTAAAAATCAGTAGTTTTTAGTAATTTATTTGTACATAACTATTCGTCAAGTATCTGTCGACTCCATCAACTATTTAATTAAAAATTAAATGCCAAAGTAACAAAAACAACGTTCGCCATGCATTCCATCCTTGACTCTATAAACAAAGGCTAATAATTAAGTGAGACGCAAACAAACAGACTCTACTAAATTTCACTCACGAGACATACAATACTTCAAGAAAACTTGAATCTTGTAACCAGGGCAACAATGTTCAGTCATGTTTTAATGCATAAAAGAAGAGGATCATCCGATAGTAAATAATAGGAATATAACGTAATACAAAGCAGGGGTGCTTTCTACCGTAGAGATCGTTACAAGTTTTGAGAGCAGTATATGCAATCTAATTGTAGAATCGTTGTGTATCGCAATTTTATTTGTCCAGCCTTTGTAAAAAACCAACGTCTGAGATCTTGTAATGCAAGGTATAAAGACTGATACTTCACTTTAGGGTTATTGCAACACCAGTTTATAGTGTTAATAACTATCTATACTCCAGCAAAGATATAATGAAATCAGTCATACGCGTGATATCATACGTTATCATAAAAAATTAGCTGTCCTCATGAGTTTTACCAAGAAGCGTATCAGTAGCAGAGAATTTATTTTTTATTTAACGTATGGCATATTAAGAACACATAATTAAAAGCAATATCTTTATAAAAAAATTAAATGGAGTATTACAAATGAACATCTAATATATCAATATAATCTAAAACATTTTCGGTCTCATTCACAAATTCCATCTTCTCAGTTTTTCCTACTGTTCCGTCAATATATTATCCTCCTTATCTCTTTACTTTTTTTGTTTGAATTCCCCTTCACTTTTGTTCAGTTTCTGCTAAAATTTTCTCATCTTTATTGGCTTACTTAGATCTTGTAGTTCTTGAAGTGCTTTGTTCATGGTTTCTCTCTTCTTACTGCGGTGGATTTTCTTTTTTTCCTTGCGTAGTTATTATAAATATGCTCTGTTTTTCTCTCTATTATAATCTGATATTCTTCGTCAAAACAGTCATTCGTTCTTGTTCTTCTTTGTTTTTTTGTTAACTTAAATGTTAACTAAAATTTTAATAATTGTACTTTCACCATCGAGCAAAAAGACAAAAGAGGGAATCTAATCCTTATGAAAAGGAGACCAAAAAAGTGGCCTCTGATGGCGGACATATCCGGAAATGCGAATGCGCCAAATTTAAATTTTCCGACATTTATTAACAATAGCTATATAATATTTTTCAGAATGTGTCTTAGACGAGAAAGTTTTAATTAATTATTAACGGTAATAGTCTAACATGCGAAACAATTGTTAAAAAACTTCAATATAAATAAGATTTCATGTGACATTTGGGACAAACAATAACATAACCCAACTAAATTTGATGTCAAACAGGGAGAGAGACTCTATCCTTGTTTAATGTGGCCTCTAAAGATCGCACTTCCTGTCTTACAATATTTTTGCCCCCACTACCTTTACATTCCCTCTTTTGTCTTTTTGCTCGATGACTTTCACAAACTGTACTTCTAATAAATAAATGTTTCGTTATGTTGAGTTATGATTTTTTTTTCGAAAAATTATCCGCCGAATATCCCTCGGACATTGATGAATGCCTTATAATTTGATGACAAATTTCTCAAGCTCGTTGCTTGGTGACAGTTACCAAGGGACGAGCTTTCGATTATCATGAAATTATCTCGTCTGTTATCAATGTCCTAGGGATATTATTACTGATAACAAACTCTAAGACGCCGCAAGAATTTAAAAGTTTCTGCGAAGTGAACGCAAATCACCATTTTTTACTACTGGTACGACAAAACCCCATTTCGTCAACTCCTGACATTAATCCAGGTATTTTTTTGCAACAATAAATGGTAAGTGGTTATTTAAATATGTTCTTTTGTTGATAATTATGTTGCGTTATGTCAATTGATTGTTATTATATTTACAACCATATATATTTCTTTTTTTTTTGTTTTAATTAATTAACCAAATAACATAAACACCATCCAACAAAAATTAATTACGAAGTAAACATTTCTTGGCGCCTAACGTAATGATTGATGAGATTAACTTTTTATCTTATTAAACTCTCCATTACATAATTTAAGTCCAGCATATTTCTACGTCGGATTCTTATTGGTTATTATCTGTTCTTCAAAGTATTTAACTCTTGTTTTACCCTAAGTTTCTTATTACCTACTCCATCTCTGACCCTGATTCCCAGTATTGATCTTTCCATTTTTTTCTGTCACATTGGATCTATGTGATGATGTTTTTGTAAATGAAGGCTCTGGAAAAGGAGCAGCAATAAACATTTTCTGTTTTGAGCAGGCGGATAAATTGGTTTTTAACTTATTTTAAAATTAAATAAGTTAAATAAATTAATGATTAACAATTACTTTTCTATTTGCTATCCAAATACTTTTCCACTTTTTGGATACTGGATAAATGAGCTTCTATTACATAGGTGGAGACCAGATCCATTTCCAAAATGCGTTCCAGCTAACGTGGATGTTGATTCCCGTATACCTCTTATTTTAGCAAATTTCTGAAAAATCACAAATATTAATTGCTTGAGAAAAGAATCGACATTGATTGAAATATCTTATGCTATGCATATACCTTCTTATTGCTCGATTTTTAATCTCATTGCTAAATGTTTTTACTTGACGAAAGTATGATAGTAGATAGTACTTCAAATATTTTTCTGCTAAGAAAATAATATAGAATTTTTATGTTTATTTACAGTTCTCATACATTCCATCAATGTTTTTGTTTTAAGAAACAAAAATATTGAGATTTTTTAAGTTATATTAAAATTGAGAATTAAAAAAAATAGTCGGCATATTATGAGAAAATATCACAGATAGAAAAAGGAGTATCGATAAATTAGTTTAAAAAAAGTATCAGAATAATCTGACGTCTTACTTAGCTAGATTTTATCTCTACATAAATATTTCGTTAAAACAACATAAAAAAATAATACAATATTGTATACACGTCAACGTGACTATCTGTTGCCTTGATTACAACTTTTAATTTAATGAGCCTTCGTGGTACACATCTATCCTAATCTTATATTAGATTTATGTTTTGGGAAACATGGAAAGTATAGCAGCGCAGATCTTTTGAGGATTCGTCTCATCCGGATACATCTGCATTGCTTGCGTTACTTGTTCTTCAGGAAAGATGGCCGCCAGATGGTAGTGCAACTTTCTACGATCTTCTTGGACGGGAGAGCTGGCTAAGTGATGGGAGCTGCCTTGCGACCAAACGGGAGGCCACATGTTTAGTTGTGTATCGGAACAACTGGATATTCTCTGCATATGTCTGGAAAAATAATGATTTTAATACTCCGATTGACGACCGACGTCTAAAATAACAATTGTTTAAGCCTACCTCATATCAAATTAAAGTAGATAAAAATAAGTGATATATTTGACATACTAATTTTGACAGCTTACCACACTTATAAAAAATCAAATTGTTGTTTTATTTTACAAACATTGATCAAAACAATAATAAAACTATATTAGAAAACACAGCATGAAAGCTTTCATTATTAATGAGAGTTCAGCAAAATTCTACGACCCAAAAAATACAGAAAAATTAATCACGCGGACAGTTTCTTAGGTTTTTTTGATAAATACACTTTTCGCAGCAGGCTACCATATGATCCATGCATAACCAAAATTTGCAAAATGTGCAAAAATATCGTGTTTTCCTTTTCTTGAAGTATTTGCAATGCCCTGTTTTACTTGGTGGTGGATTAGGTTGGGTTTGTGTCACAGAACAGTCACAGAACCGTACCTAGATCTCTACGCCGGGCTCTGTTATTTATTATAAAATAATATAGTGATAAAATAATTGCCTTCAAGTAGCCAAAAAAGAGGCATGAATTTGAATAAAAAGACCTTAAGTTTTTAGCGAGAATTTTATTATAAAACTGTATACTTTATTAAACTAACAAATGTATTTTAAATTACATTTCTTGATAGCTGTAAATATACCGGGTGGAACCTCCGGTAACTCGATTTCCGTGCATCCAGCCCAATATCCAAGAAAAACTTTTTCTTTTGTAAATATGTTAAAAATTATCAGGAACGGGAATATCGAAAAAGCTTTGCACATTTTTTAATCCCGGCGATGTTATTAAAAAAACAAGTTGCGCACTTGAATCACTGCGAAATTTTAACACCTACTATGAAATTTTTTTTTGTGGAAATCTGCAGTTTTTGTCCTTGTTAAAACATAATGCAGTCTCGCATTTTTTTACACACAACATAAGTTTACGTAGTTCCTTGGCATAGCAACCTGGTAGTTTTCAGCGAAACCTTGTGTTATTCCATATGGGATAATGGTTTTCCTTGCCCAGACTTGACCAGATGAGCAAGTATAAGGTTTATAGTGTAAGTTATTTAACATTATATATTTATACTTTATTAAACTGACAAATATATTTTACATTATATTTCTTGATAGCTATAAATATACAGGGTGGAACCTCCGGGAACTCGATTTCCGTGCACCCAGTCCAATATCCGAAAAGCCTATACTCTGATTGGACTGGTAAATGCATTTTATTGGTTATACAGTGTAAAATCATCGAGATTACTCACAGATATTCAATTAATTATACTAAAGTCGTCCTCTACATCTGAGATGTCGGATTCGCTTTCGCTACTCTCCCCTGTGTTCGTGTGTATTATTAATTGGTCTACGTCATCTTGCAGGTTATCCGCAGTCCACATCTCAGTTTCCGATTTCTCAACAACATGAGTGACATAATTGCGCCAATTTTGCTCTGTGACGCTTGCGAAAACCGTCGTCGATCAACTGGCGTACCTCGTCATTTTTAAAAGTGGTATTATGGGTACCTACATATCGCTTAACTTGGTTCCACACCATTTCTATAGGATTCAATTCGCAGTGATATGGAGGAAGCCTTAAAATATAAACATTATGTTGTGAAGCATACTTATCAAGATGATACTTATCGTATTGATCTTTAACAGCACGCGCTGCTTCTAATAGCTCGGATTTCAAATAACACTCCTCGAAAAAAATGTCTTTTTCCACTAGCCATTCCTTGATTGCAGCCATGATATAAGGAAACAAGGTATGCTCACTAGGTGGACTCGTTTTTGCACATTTCTGCGCCGACCAAAATCCACCATCTTTTCAATATGTCACATGCGTGTAGGGATGGTGACCTGATCCCGTACCAGTTACTTTGGAACATGTATTTTATTTATACTTGTGGAACTGATCCCTAACACCAATATATTATAATAAACGAGTACGGGTTTCATTGCATTTGTCCTTAATTTTTATCGTGCATTTCTCAACGTTTACAAAGCTTTAGATAAATATCAACAGATGACAATTGGCGTGAAGTAGACAAAACTATCGCCATTTTTTTATGAACTTTTTATACAATCTCTGAATAACAGTAATTTAAGTATTTGAAGTTATACAGTCATTTAAATAACTATAAAGAAATCTAACAAAATACAAATAATGTTGTCGTTATGTTTAGATATCTATTAAACGAATAATAACAAACTGATTTCCAAACCAGTATTTTTTAACAGGTATATTTGTTTACGCGATCAGTTTGACCTGATCCACAAAAATACTTGGATCAACCACCTCTACATGCTTGACGTCTGCTTTGTTTTGCATTTTTTAACCTTACTTTGCAATGTATTGGAATTTAAAAGTAAATTTGTTTCGATTTTTTTTAAATTATTTTAGCAAGAGTCTGTTCAGATCATTTTAAATCTGAATTAATTGGATTAATGTAGAATATTAATTTTATTTTATTTAATTTAACTACGATATTTTTTATCAAATTTGTACATATTTGAATTGCCGCCTTCAAAATGGCGGATTTTGGTCGTAAACGCGATTGGCTGTTCAAAATAGATGCGCGTGAGCATACCATGTTTCCTTATATCATGATTGCAGCTTTATTCCAGGAATTGTTAGGGAATCTCTCTTTACGGGAGTGGTACGATGCATTGTCCATTACAATAACACTCCTGCGACCATTATTTGGTAAATTTGATATTAATGTATCCACCTCTTTATCACATTAATGTCTTAATGTGATAAAGAGGTATTCAAATGTTACTCTTATGAATATGATTCAATTGTATATCTCATGTTGACGTTTTATATAAAAACTATACTTATAATATATATTATCGGCAAAAAATATGTATATATTTGTTGGCTTTCCAAGTGATTATTTTGGTTATTATATATATTCTTTTGTATTTTTGGTCAAAATGGTATTTGTCCAGAGCAAGTAACATTTATGGTATTCCCCGAAATATTTTATGGCACGGCGTATTATTCGTTGCATAATAACAATAAGTTAGTAAAAGACCTACAAAATATTTTGTACTTTTTACATTAACGAGACCTTAGAAAGGTATGCTTAAACTAGCATGCTTAAATAAAGTTTAGTTATTGATATATAATTAGCTTAAAAAAATTAAATTTGAACTTTAAGTTTAATTAGGTAAAATTTAATAGATCAAAATAAATTTTTGGTTGTCATAACATTTACTTGTAACATTGAATAACAACTATATAATAACACAATGCTCTTACACTCGATTATCCACCCACACCTACCGCTAAAATTATAGATTTGGTTTGCATATGATCTGTACTGACCCGACTGACCCGTGACCCGACAAAGTGATTCGGTTCTCTTAAGTGAACCGGAACCGGTGACCCGAATCTTAAAGATGACCCGAAATTCCCTTCACTAGTTTGCAAGTAACAAACCAGCGATCCAACGTAATATTTCTTCCTGTTCCATAGAGATCTTCACACATCCTTGTAGTAACTGCTGCACATGAATTATCTACTTTATATGGTCGTCCAGCAGGTTGTTGACCAGCATATATTTCCATATTATTAGTGTAAAATGTTTTTGCGTCGACAGTGGCAAATACTTTGATACCATATTTTTTAGGTTTGGAAAGTACATGCGGAAGCTACACCTTCAACGAAAAGCAAAAAGCATCTTACCGAGAGTTACATAGTCAGCAAAGGTATAACAAGATTGACTGTTTTTTACAAATGTTTCCAAAGTCTCTCTCATCGGAACTAATTTGTCGATTTTGAGTCTTTCGTCCCTGGTTTGTTTATTATCAAAACGTATTACTTTTAACAACAATCTAAATCGTCTTTGTGCCATGGTCGCTACAAATATTTCTAATCACATGCAATCGTCTGCCGAAAATTCTTCTAAATTTTTTCGTGAGTCGTGATCCAAACCTGTTAAATATAACAAACCAATAAAAGCTCTCATTTCCGGAACAGATGTAAGTTTGACGTCGTTTTGATTTTTGTATCTTCCAGATATCTCTCTAATATAACTATTACACCCCACGATCTAATGGTTACTTTATTGTTACAATTACATTAAAACATTCTTACCTATGTTGTGGATGTTGTTGTGGAGGCCACGGCCTGTAAGAATCAGGCGCGGAAGCAATTCTGGTCACGTGCTGATGTACGTCCCAACCTGGAGGAGGATTCATAAATGCCGAAGACGGAGGAGCAGCAGTTAATCCTGGAAGTTGTCCTGCAGCAGTTGGCTGTGTATGAGGCGGGGGATATCTCACTCCCAATCGTGGATCGGCACCTGAAAATACATTTTAACATAATATATCTCATCATTTGGATGAACTACTTCTGAAAACAGCATAGGAAATTCGGTGTTTTTAGAATGTAAACGGAAATATGCATAGAAAATATTTATATATATATATATATATATATATATATATATATATATATATATATATATTATATATATATATATATATATATATATATATAAATATTTTATATATTTACCTGTACAAAAAATTACACCTCTGTATAATATGTTGCATACCATTAAGACAGGTGAAAATAGGATAGACACCTAAGGAGAGGCTCTAATATAGTATTTCTTGTAAAGAAAGATAACATCAATTTTACACCTAATTACATATTAATTACACTGTTTTTTCTTTCCATTCTCTGTATGAGTTAATATACACCAGTAAAACATGCCATCAATCAAGTTTTACTATTTTTACAACAAATTTTAAAAATTTTATGATGTATATGTCCATAATTGTATATTTTAATGTGTTGTATAAATGTTGAGTGTTCAATGCTTACAAAAATAATCTCAACGACTAGTAAGTTACACTGAAGAATTGTGATATTTTTTAAATATTTACATAATTGTCTTTTACAGTGTCTTGAAAAAGGAATAAAATCATTCCGAAAGCTCGACAAAAAGTCAAAGAGTGTTTTTTATTTAACATCCCGGCCAATATTCTGACTGCAACCCTAATAAACTGTGTTGTTTGTTTATATCGACAGTCAATAATATCCAGTATTTCTTATATATATATATATATATATATTATATATATATATATATATATATATATATATATATAATAAAATAGTTTGATTCTAAATAAACATGAAAATGATAATTTCAGTTTATTTTTATTATGTCCTAGAATGTTTTACGACCTATCTACCTTTATAGTGTGGTTCAAGGTTGACAAGAGGTCAGTGAAGAAGTCAACTTAATAGATTGGAGTATGTTGTAAGGTACAACATATCCATGGGAGTAGTACAACTGTTCTGTAGAAATATAATAATGGAGGTAAAGATGTTGGAATATGTGCTAGGGCAAAAGACTCATGAATAACAGCAGCAGGATCAACTGCGTGATGTACCAATACTGCTTCGATAGGTCTTTGAAAGTGGATATTAGAGGAAGGGAATTTTAAAGAAATGATTCATATTTTGAAAATAGAGCATTATGCTGGTATATAAATGGTACAAAGATGGTGCAAAGTGGTATGAGAGCTGAAATTGGCATAAAGGAACGTAATTAAGACCTATCAATGATTTAGGAAGAATTCTCTAAATCCTTCCAGCTCAGCCACTAGCTATAATCAGGTGTGTGCACGTTATGCCTTGATTTGTCAAGGTTGTCTATCAGTGATTTGATAAGATGTAATCTGGTGAGTGGGTAGTAAAGGACGTGAAACTATAGTACAGAGTTCAAAGGAATTATTAATTACAGAGTCTTCAGGATGACAACATCAGTTTGTTATGAATGCCTAGCAGAAGTGGTCTGAACTCATACGCAGGTCTTACTGGACCCTTGACGTGCGAGGCTATTAACTGGAAAATATTAGACGACTTTGGCTAGAAAGACTAGAGGACCAGGCAATGGGATTACAATTTGAAAGTTTTCTATGGACTCTAGCACACCAGACGTCCAAGAAAACGTGAGAAGTCGTAATAAAGCATCAGTGCAAGAACAAACAATATTACATTTTACATATGTACTGATATTCAAAGACAATGTTGTAATCACTTGAGGTGGGATAAGATATAGCGTGCTTTCAAATTTTTAAATTTCTAAATAAATTAAAATTAAACAGTAAAAACAAAATAAAGTTACACTAAAACATTAAAGAACATTAAAACTTTTTTTAGAATGAGGAGGATGTTTAAATAATAGGTTAGGTAACAAAGGTACAATTGATAATTACCTGGATTCAAGGTGAGCTGTCGTTGCAGCTTTTTGTGCAAGTTTTCTTGAAGTGTCGGTGGCTGAGATTGGATATAGGAAGCACCTACATTATCTACGCTGCGACTCTTGGAGACAACGGCGTGCTGGGGTTCTTTAGGAGGAGGAATATTCGAACGAGTTCGTCCAAGAGGAGTTTTTCGGATGTCACCCTCCCTAGCCTAATACAAATGAAACTTTTAAAAAATATATTTTCAAATTTATGATATAAGTAATAGTTTATAGTTATAAAACAAGTAAATTAATTGTTAAAACGCTTGGGTGATATAATTTACCAAAAATTAGTAATCGTAGCATCATTTTGGTGGTTTTTATTAAGTTTTGTGAAGGTACATATATGTACCACTGGGCGTGTCCAGAAAAAATAAAAGTTTTGTGGTACGTATTTATACCATTACCCTGAGAAACTTAATTTTCAATCAGAAAAATTATAAAAAGGCGCAAATCACTCAAGACATAATGCTACGTCTGGTTAGTACTACAAAGGCAGCATCTTCTCCTAGATACTTTTATAGATATATGGTCTACCAAATGGCGTAAATTTTTTACGTTAAAAAGAGTAGATCTAGCTTCCGGATTATTCCTTGTCTTTGCTCCACTACGTCGAATTGATGGACCAAGTTTAGAACGTCCGGGTAATCGTCTCCAAGTAAATTCTGTTCATTCTCTTTTTCACTTTTCGATGATTCGAAATATTTTCAATGTTTTCTCTGAGCTCGACCGTCTCATTCTACAAAGGAGTCATCCCTGCTAAAATACTTTCATCGTCCAAGGCTAATCGATTGAGTTACCATTACTTAACAGATGAGCAAGTGGAATATTGTTATCTGCATAGGAATTGCCCTCATCTTCCTAATTATACACCATGTTATTGTAGGTTATACTTAATAGATAAGCAATGTCATCTGGATTTTCTAAATTATTATGAACTTTGCGTTCTATCTGCAATGTTACCTACCTGTTAGAAAAACATTTATTACGAAAATAGACACACAGAACATTCGGATTCTTAAATAACACGTCGGTTAGATGTTGACCATCTCGCTCGTAGCACTCTTGCAATCTGGATCGCAAATTGAGAGAGACATCCTCACACATATTCACTGGAATGTTGTTAATAGCGTTACGAATATTTTGCTTCAGCTCTTCGATTGTGGCTGGTGGATTAGCGTAGACGATTTTCTTTAAATACCCCCACAGAAAAAAATCTTAAGGGATAAGGTCAGGAGACCTTGGGGGAAAACGAATATCACCATTTTGTGAAATCAGTGTGCCTGGAAACATTTCTGTTAGGACGTTTATTGAAGTGCTCGCTGTGTGGCGTAGCACCGTCTTGCTAGAACCATGTATTGCCTGGATTAATCTTTCTTTAAAATACACTGGATACTAGCACGAGACAAATTTAGCGCTTGTGCATGTTTGCGAAGTGAACGCCGAGGATTACCATTTACAGCACGTCGAACTCTTGCAACATTGACAGAAGTTCGAATAGTTTTTAGTTTGCCTGGATGTTTCACATTTGTAACTGCTTCTTCTCTAAATTTCTTTACCCGTCTATCTCTATCTAATTAGCCTTCTTCGGTTCATCTTTGGACGTAGGCCTCCCCAATCCTTTTCCATTCTTCTCTGTCTGTCGCAACAGTCATCCATCTAGAGCCCACGTGCTTCTTGATATCATCTGCCCATCTCATTTGGGGCCTTCCTCTGCTTCGTTTATATTCCCACGGTCTCCAACTTATAAGAATTTTGTTCCATCGGTCTTCTTTTTGTCTTATATTGTGTCCGGCAAATCTCCATTTCAATTTTGCAACTTCTTGTCTAACATCCCTCACTTTTGTTTTCTCTCTTATCCACTCGTTTCTCTTATTATCCATTAGTCTTATGTGCAACATTTGTCTTTCCATTGCTCTTTGGGTTTTTATGATTTTGTCCATGTTTGCTTTTGTAAATGTCCACGTTTGGGAGCCATACGTAAGAACAGGGAGTACGCATTGATTATATACTTTGGTCTTAAGATGCTGTGGATATCTTTTGTTTTTAAGAATGTAGCTTAGTTTGCCAAATGCCGCCCATGCCAGTCTAACTCGTCTCTTGATCTCTGCTGTTTGATTCTCTTTGTTAAGTTTTATAGTTTGACCAAGATATATATATAATCCTTAACTTGTTCTATTTCATCTTGTCCGATTCTCATTGTGATGTCTTCATCTGTATTTGTTATAGTTTTGGTCTTGCTGTAATTCATATTAAGGCCTATCTTTCCAGCTTCTACGTCCAGTTCTTTCATCATTTCAAATAATTCATCTTTTTTATCGGTTATCAATACGATGTCATCAGCGTACCTTAGATGGTTCAAGCGTTGTCCACAAATTTTTATACCTTTTTTTCCCATTCTAATCTTTTAAAAGTATCTTCAAGAGCCTGATTGAAAAGTTTCGGTGATATTGTATCACCCTGTCTCACGCCTCTACTTATTTGTAATGATTTTGTTCCTTCATATACTTTAATTTTTGTTTTGGCTTCCTTATATATATATTGGTTATTAGTTCCGTATATCTGTGGTCAATTCGGCTGTTAATCAAAGAACTTTTCACTGCCCAATGTTCGACACTGTCGAAAGCCTTTTCGAAATCTATGAACGCCATATATAGAGGAATGTGGTATTCATTTGCTCGTTCTATAAGTATTTTCTTACTTCTTCTTTACCCGTGTGTGCACTAATATCGCGGATGGTGCATCACCCACGCGTCTAATATTGTACCGTACACAAAAACGCCGTCAAGCAACTGTTAGGAATCGTTGGCTTTAAAATACGCCTCAACCATGTAGGCACGCTGCGTTTTCGTCCACTGTTCCATGGTAACTAAAATCCGCACGTGTTGGCTACACGGCTGACATCAGAGAACTAGTTCTCTGGCTGACATATTGTTTTCATGAAATTTCGCTAAGACACCTTTTATATATGCCACTTAACATTATATAACTAAATGAACATCGGTACATACATATACCACTTAACAAACTGAAAATGAAACCTCTAATAGATATTTTCAACGATTTAACAAGAAACTATTGCAAAAAACGAAAATCACTATGAAATCTTCATTATAACATTTACTTTTACATCAATCATTCACTACTAGATCGTTAAAATAGTGGAAAAAGCGCGCGAAAACTCACGATTGTAATGAACCCTCACCGGTATTGATTTGTACCACTTTATGACGTATTTTAATCTTTTATAAAAATGGCATTATTTACTGAGAGCTACTATATCAGGCAGAATTGTTGCCCTTGCTCTTCCGAAAGAGATTTTGCTTATTTTAAAAATATACCAATAATAAAGGGTTAAACCGCCATTCCTAGAAAGAAGGATTCATTCATATTCTTTTCACATCACTTTTATTTCAAATAAATGGCTGGAGTCAGTTTACATGTCCAAAATGTAGGCAGTTTATGATAGCTATATATATAAACTCACAAACCAAGTAGTTTGTAGAATAACAGTTATAAAATGATGTACCTTGTATGGTTTGTAAATCAGTAAATGATTATATTGATCTTTCATATTAAAATCAATTCAGATTCAATTTAATATTGAAGCTAAATGCTTAATTGATTCTTTATTAAAAACATATAAGGATTACTAAATGTTTTGCGCAAAACAATATTTTTTTATATTTTGTAGAAATGAAAAGCAATATTAAAGAATTAAGACAACGCTCACCAGCTTCTACATGTTGTACCGGTTGTATAGAGATGGTATGTTTCATACGGGTGTGTTTTATAACACCCAAATCATATCAACTTTAGAATGATATGATTTGGGTGTTATATGTTGAACTTCATCTCAATCAAAATATTTTTAGTGATAGTAGTAAATGTAGTATAAGCTATATCAAAGTATCTCGAATAAGCTTATATTAAAGCTTTAAAAATGTTTATCTCTAGCAAATGATAAAAAAGTTATTCCAATTTTACCTGTAAATGTCTTTGTGCATGTTCTGACAATCTCTCCGTTACACTCTTATGGGGCAAAGGTCCTCTCTCAGGATGATGATACTTGCATTTATTGCCGTAGGTACATTTTTTCGCGTATGGACACGGCGGAGGAGGGTCTCCCTTCTTTGGTTGGCATTTCAAGAAATTGTCTAACGTGGGACCCGATCGTCCCAGGGGATCATCGGGAGGCATGAAGTGATCGTTGACAAATGAATACATTAGAATGCGCTCTTCTACCACTTTGCGAAACTCGGCGTTTTCTTGACAGAGGTCTCTGTAGTTATCGTTGCTTACTACTATGCCGTCTGTTTGGGCTGCCAATTTTAAAATGTATCTACGGAAAAATGTTTATATTATTATATAGTAAAATAAAAACTGAAACAAATAGAAACGGAATATACCGACTAATTTTTCTTTGCATTTCTACCACAGCAAACCTTTTTTATTCGATTCTATATATTTTTTCGAGTTCACATGTATTTTTTTTTTATTTTTCCAAGTGGACTTTATAAAACAGTACGTTTTATATAAGAATTTTGATTTGATGAATAACAATTTCTTGGAATGATGTCCAAAAGAACACAATACAATTTGTTTGCAATTATCTTGAGTCTGTTAATATCTACTGATATAGTTTTCAAGGTTTTATCAATGTACACAGACTATAGTTTATTTTTATGAACGAGAGAGTAATTAGCATAATTTTAACTGGTACCTCCGACCACTCCATGGGCGTGCTCAAGATTAATTGAAAAATTACTTTGAATAATTGTAAAAAATAAATGAATTATTTCAGTGTTATAAAGTGTTATGTGTATGTAAACAAAAGTGACCTCTTTTATCACACACTATATTAGAACTGACTGGCCTACATTAAAAAGGGTTTTAAAAAATTCACATTTTTTTTAATTTTTAAAAATTACAAAAGAGAAAAAGAGTTTTTAAACCGTTTAAGGTATGTTAAATAGATGAATAAAAAATATTAATATAAAACTTACAGCTACTTGTTACAAATCCAAATCAGATTCAGAAGATGAACTTTCAGAACCAAGATTTATAATAACTGGCTCGATCATTTTATCAGTAATATTGTCCAGCTTCCACATTTTTTCCTCTTCTTTAATAGTGTGATTTACTGTCTTTTCCCAGTTTTCAGGTTTTACATTATTTACGGCCTCCAAAAACAACTGTTTAACATCATGAATTTTAAAAGTGGTATTTTTTCTTGAAACTTCACTCTTTATCTGTGCCCATACCAGTTCAATCGGGTTTAATTCACAATGATATGGTGGGGATCTAAGTACTGTCATTCCACGATTTTTGGCAATTTCATCAATTTCGTATTTTTTAAATTTTTCTTTATGAAGGGCACACAACGAATAAAGTTCCTTTCTTATAGATCCGGGATGGTACGTAATATTTTTTGAACTCAGCCAATTCTGCAAGTCTTTTTTTAACCACTTGGTTGTGGGCACTCCTTCTATAAGTCTGGAGTGATAACTTACATTATCCATTACTATTACACAGTTCTTAGGAAGAAGATCTATCATTTGTTCGAACCATTCTTGAAAGACATCAGCGTTCATGTCTTCATGGTAGTCACCGGTACGAGTTGATTCAAAAGTTAATAAACCACCTTCAACAAAACCGTCTGAACTGCCAATGTGTACTATTATCAGCCTGCGTCCCTTTCCTGATGGTGGGTTTAAACCAGTAGATAAGTTATTTACAAAAGCGTGCCTTTGACTTGTAACAGTTTCATCCTGCCAAAATTTATTTGGTGTATGACCCTCGTTGATCCATGTTTCATCAAGATAAAATATTTTCCTTTTTTGGTTTCTCATTTCCTTATGGTTCTTAGAAAATGTCTTCTCCATATGACAATATCGCTTCTTTCTAATAAAACAGACTTTCTGGGATTCTTTTTCCAGCGGAAGCCTATTTATTTTAAAAGTTTCCATAACGTACTTAGACTCATTTCTGGGTAATCCTTATCATCTCGAACTGAGACAAGAACTTTATCCAATGTTGGAAATTCTTGTCTAAAGAAGAATTCATGCACTTTCCGTCGAAGTCCTTCTTTAAAATGATATTCTATTTGAAATTTTGGTTTCCCTGGAGCATTACGTGGCATTTAAAAACTACCACATTTCTCTTCTTTAATAACTCTGTAAATCGTAGATTTCCCAACACCAAGTGTACTGCTACCTAACTCAACGGTCTCATCAACACTTTCACATAAACGTTTGTCTGTAAATGATTTAAAACAATTAAATATTAATGTTTTTTCATTAACTGTTAAAGGACCAATTTTTCGGCGTTTACACGGCACTTCCAAATTTTCCATAACACTAGTATACACAATAAACTGCACCTTGCAACTGAAGTACCTACTTTTAGTGAACTATTAAGAATTTTGAATATGCCACTTGGACCTTCCTACAAAATGGAAAAACCCACTATCACATTTTCTGTGGAATAAGTTTAGAAGGTAATTATCTAGTCAATTACTGTCGTAGATTCCTGGAATTAAAGAATTAAATGTTTGATTGTTGAAACCCTTATTTCGTGGAATGCACTCATTTCAGATAAAATAAAACGTTTTATTTTATCTAAAGAATTAAACTTTATTTTGCAAATAGGTAGGTACTTATTAAACTTTTATTGGTTATATATAACCAATAAAATAAACATCTTATATTTGTTGCAAATTCATTAGTACCTATTAACCTCCATCACTCCAACACTGGCAACCTTATTTAGGGATTAGTAACCTTCACAACTATTGTATTCTATTCTGCTCCAACCTTTATACCTGGTGGTCATACTCAATTTAAAATTGTTTTCCTATATACTTCTGTAAACTTGTTGACAAATATCTGTTTTTCATTGAGTCACCCGTATCAACAGTTTAGGGATTTGCATACATAATTTATTGTTTTATTACTCTCTCATACATAAAAATACACTATAATCAATTCTTCTACTTACCGATCGTCGTAGCACACCATCCGTTTACCACCGACCAGCCGCGAAGGAGTAAATACTAACAGTCTCTCTTTTTCAAGTTCAGCCAAAATATCTTGATCCCTGATGAGGTTATCGGGACGGGGTGATTCTTTTCTCCATTTCGGCACGAATACAGTTATGTCTTTGTGTCCTCGACCTTTGAACCAGTCCACGCAAATTTTGATGCCTCGACAGGAGAATATTTCTTTGTTACCATGACTGAAAGAAGAATAGTTGATTAAAATAGAAAAAAAAAAGAAAATAGAAAAAAATAGAAAATTAGGAGATTCAATACAGAGCCTTAATTTCATAGAAACTTATGTATAACTATTTTATAATAATTCTAAAACATGGTTTTGAGAAATAGAACAGCGAGCTATAGGGACCGGCGAACAAAAACCCAAATTTTGTCTTAGGTACGTGGATGATACTTTTATAATAATCTGAACACATGGAGAAATAAAACTAAAGGTATTTTTAGAAAACATCAATAGTATCCACCATAAAATCCACCACATGCCGATTCACATCACCATCTTGCACAGTCATTAAAACCCTAATGACACAATCCGAAAGACTGACAGACGAAGAACATAAAAATAAAAAAATGCATAATGTGAAAACAGCGCTAAGAAAAATCAGCTTCTCAATATATACCATTGAAAGGCTCATAATGCTCAAGAAAGAATTAAGGACCCAACAGAAGATGCAAAACCGATTGCAAAAGCCATTCTACCATACGTAAAGGGTACAACAGAGAAAATAGGGAGAGAGCTAAGAAAATACAAAATAAAAATACAAAGAAAAAACAAAAATATCATTAGAAAATCAAGGAGTGAATGAGATTCCATGTATGGATTGTGACAAATCGCACATCGGAAAGACCAACAGAAGGATAAATGATAGACGAGAACATCACAATGCCATGGAAAGGAGAGAAAAAACGTCGTCCCTTGCAGAACATGGTTTAAAGACAGGACATACAATAAACCTGAATCAAACTGCGATGCTAACACTGAAATTAAAAGAAAACGCGAAATCAGAAAAATCAATAGAAATAGAAAAAAACCCAATAGTCTAAACCAAAGAAATGATACTCAAAGGGCTCCAAAAACATGGAAAACGGTATTAGAAAAAGTCTAGAGGAGCGCGACTTGATCGGTTATATAAGTAACTACATCGACCAAGAGAGTCAGTTTACTTCAAGCACCAGTCAAGAAGCGTTACTACCTGACTTGACAATGGCAAGTGCCACCTTGCCAAAACGTCGTCAAAAGAATGGTTTTTCTCAAAACTAAAATTATCCATTTTGGAATTTCCAACGTGAGGCAATGTTATCTTATTCGCAGAAGAAGCAATTCTCGCAATTTCAACACTTTGGTATTAGTATCAGTACTGAAATAGTTCATTGATGTGTTCTGGAGAAGTAAGTCCAAATGTTACGTCTTAGTAGAGTCGGGAGTACTTAAGGTTGATGAGTTGATGAGTCTCGATAGTCTATGGCAGTAGGTATAACAATATCCACAATAACCGATATTCTTTATAAACATGTACAATTTGTAATTTATAATCTTATTTCACGTTTGGAAAATGTTTTGTGGAGATACAAACATTGATTAATTATCACAATTGTCATGATTTTAAAGAGAAAGACAATTTACTTACCTCATAGCTACATTACTACCATCTATAACTATTGGACGTAGCGATTGCGTTCCTTCGATCGCTTCAATTTGAAATGCCGTCATATCTAAAGTACTTTCCGACGGACTGCTATCGCATGAACTGCCCTTCTGCGCTCCTAATTTGATCAGTTCTGCTAACAATTCGTTTTGTGTGGGCGAAGGCCCCAGTTTTTGAAGTGCCGCTTGTACCAATTTTTCGGTATAGCCAAGCTTGAGAGCGAACTCTACCCTAAAATACAATAAAAAATAAAATTAATTTAAATATATAAGTCATAAGAATTTGTGGTTTTAGTTTCTGATAAAAAATATCAACCCAGCAGTTTACAAGACAAAACACACAACTTATCATCGATTAAACTAAGGAAAATATAATATTAATTAAATCATGAATGTGTTGCTTGTGTGAGTCCATTTCAAATAGGTAAAGAAATAATAAATAAGACTTACTCACAATCAATTTAATTTAACTATCAGACGACCGGTTTCGCTTTCTACAATATGCAAAGCATCTTCAGGCCTCGATACAAAGTTAAACAAATGATGCCGGTACTCTATTAATAGATGGATGGTAAAACATGTTTGAAACTACTTTATATTGTTGACTGGAGAACTCAATACTATTATTGCAGTTGTTTGACAGTAAACGGGAAGTTCTTGAGGAGATAGATTTGATCCAATGAATTTGAGATATGTGTGAGATTGTTTGTTAAATGTAAGTGGTGTAATATACTATTGTGTTATTAAAAGTTATTTATACTTATTCCAGAGATATATTTTTGAAATGTGTGTTATTTATTGAGTAATTGTTTTATGAAGGTGACATTTTATGACAATGAATAAGTGTAGATGTAAAAATTGTGTGGGTGTGCAATTATTTCCAAACTTGTAGTTATCAAATTACTTTGATAAAGTTCTATTGGCAATGAGTTAATTATTGGAATAGTCAAGTGAATAAAATGGTAAAATACAAACACTTAAGGATAATTTAAACACACTAAAAACAGAAAACACTTAGAAGGGACGAAACAAACATTGAATTTAAAAGGGGAAGGACTTTAAAGCACTACATCATAGTCTTGGGCCCAAGACTATGATGTAGTGCTTGGGTACAAAACTCATTGTGCCCAAGACTATGATGTAGTGCTTTAAAGTCCTTCCCCTTTTAAATTCAATGTTTGTTTCGTCCCTTCTAAGTGTTTTCTGTTTTTAGTGTGTTTAAATTATCCTTAAGTGTTTGTATTTTACCATTTTATTCACTTGACTATTCCAATAATTAACTCATTGCCAATAGAACTTTATCAAAGTAATTTGATAACTACAAGTTTGGAAATAATTGCACACCCACACAATTTTTACATCTACACTTATTCATTGTCATAAAATGTCACCTTCATAAAACAATTACTCAATAAATAACACACATTTCAAAAATATATCTCTGGAATAAGTATAAATAACTTTTAATAACACAATAGTATATTACACCACTTACATTTAACAAACAATCTCACACATATCTCAAATTCATTGGATCAAATCTATCTCCTCAAGAACTTCCCGTTTACTATCAAACAACTGCAATAATAGTATTGAGTTCTCCATTCAACAATATAAAGTAGTTTCAAACATGTTCTACCATCCATCTATTAATAGAGTACCGGCATCATTTGTTTAACTTTGTATCGAGACCTGAAGATGCTTTGCATATTGTAGAAAGCGAAACCGGTCGTCTGATAGTTAAATTAAATTGATTGTGAGTAAGTCTTATTTATTCTTTCTTTACCTATAATATTAATTATATTAAGGCATATTAGTATCAAAACGTTTTTTAAACTCTCACCAACTAGGCTGGGGTTGCAGAGATAACTACGCTCAAGGTAAATCTCTTTAAATTATTAGAAAAGATTTGTATATCCTAAATAGAGGCACCGAACCTAACTTTATTAATGTTCGTAGCCAAACAGTCATAGATATCACGCTAGCAACAACTGAAATATCGAATAAAATTCAGAACTGGCAGGTACAGAGGACATATCTATGTCTGGCCACCGCTGGCTAAAATATACTATTAGTCTGAAAGAAAACCTTATCAAATCTCACAACTCTAGGAGGACAGATATAGGATCTACAACCAACTCTTAGAAGATGCTCTGCAGAATGAAAAGGCTTTAATTCCAGGGATTAATATAGAAATGGAAAGGTGTACGGTATAAAAACAAAATGAGCTGTGCTTAATAAACAATTTTGTCCGATAAGGATGGTCCAGGAAAGTAACAAAACTAACTCCTGGTGATGCAATGAACTGGAACACCTTCGGAAGACAGCAAGAACAGTTTTTAATAAAGCAAAACACACCAAACTCAAAGGGGATTGGGATTCTTATCAACCAAACGTAAGAGAGTTTAAGAAAGTTTGCAGACAAAGAGCTGCTTAGAGAGTCTACGATGAGGAAATTGAAGAATTCCCGCAGGCTTCCAGGCTAAAAAAAAAACGCTCTGAAAGGACCCGCATCGGCATATCGACACATTAACGAAGGAAGATGGAAGCAAATCTTTCAACATTTGCGAAAGTTGCTGAGATCCTGATGAAAACACACTTCTCTGGTTCTAGCGTCTCAATAGCACCAAACTGGACGAAAAAAAAAACAACCATACCCTCACTGAACGATTGGCATTTCGCTAAAACAACGATTAATGAGGAAAAGGTAAGATGGGCCATATTATGCTTCACCCCGTTTAAGTCACAATGGACTCACGGTATATATCCAGCCGTACTATGGTGGGGACTGGATATCCTTCTGCGGCACCTTGTGGGAATGTTCAGAGCCTCTTTGGTTCTGAGATTTATTCCTAGAAAGTGGAGAGAAGTACGTGTGGACTTCATACCAAAACCAGGTAGAGTGGACTAGACCCTACCACAGGCTTTCCAACCAATCAGCCTAACATCGTTTCTCTTGAAAATGATGGAAAGGCTATGCGAGAGGTACATAAGGGAAGAAGTTCTGGTTTATAACGTAGTTTATGTACCTCATGATATACTCCGTAGCTCAGACAGAACTGGCTGGTATCTCCTTAGCCGCAAAAGGGATAACCCAAAAAGGTATAGTTGAAAATTAACATAATCTGCACAGATAGCAGATAAGCGCTACCAACCTTGCTGAATAGACCACGTGTTACTTCAGGGTTAGTAATGGAGTGTCACAAGTCACTAACTCAAGCTTCGGATCGGATGATAATAACATCCTGAGGTGGGTTAAACTTAAAGGACACAATAGGAATAAAGCAACCGCATTGCTGACCAATTGGCAAGGGAGGCGGTAGGCCTAAGACCCATACGCAAACCGTGAAAAGAAGGGGAGAAGGGCAAGGATGTACTTCTTCTTCTTCAGATGCAAATCCACTATGGATGTTAGCGATCACATTTTCCATTAACTCTCTATTTCTTGCAATATGTATCAGAGATTGTATGTCGTTAATCCCTGTCCATTGCCTTATGTTTCGGAGCCAGGACATTTTCTTGCGTCCCATTCCTCTCTTGCCTTCAATTTTACTCTCGAGATGTACACAGAAGGATGTACACTTGCCAGAATAACACTAAAAGCTGGATTTATAGTTTGGTCGACTGTAGACAGTTTCGCCATGTTAATTGCCAACGTCAAGGGGACTTGATAGGGCACGTTAAGAAGAAGAAGGACTGTAGACGTAGACGCACTGGAGACGTAACAAACGGACTGTAAATATTATCTCAATTTATAAATCGACGGAGTGTAATTTTTGCGCATGAGTAGAAACAGTGGCTAGGGTTGGTGACCATGATACTATGATATCCTTTTATTATTCATTATTAATTATAAATATATTTAAATAATCAACAAAATTCGAATATGTTGATGAACAACTTTACAAAATGGAGGAGCGGGCCACTTTGGTTGACAGCACAAAATTCTTCCTTATAATTGGCCACACGCAAGTAACGCACTGTAAGAGATGACAGTGCGTCCACGTTTACAGTCCGTTAAACTATAAATCCAGCTTAAGTAACCTTAAAATCATTATCAAAGAAGTACTTGGGAATGACCAGGAAAACCTACACTTGACAGTTGGTTTTTTAACTGGTCATTATCAACTAAGCAAACACCTCCACACACTGGGGATAGTAGACACCACTGTATACAGGAAGTATGAACGAGAAGATGAAACTGTAGGACATTGTCCTATGTGAATGCCTGGAGTTATTTCTAAGTTCTACTTTATATCTCGTATTTGCGATTTTTTGCATCTCCTCATCTCTCTGGATATTGTCTTTTTGTCGTTTTCCGTGCATATCAATTTTCCCAGTATTAATCGGTATGCTTTCTTTTTTAATTTTTTTAAATTTTGCTAAAATGTTAGTTTTCTGTTGTTAAAATATTCAAGTGTTCGATCTTAATTGCAATGTTTAGTAAAAAACTGTAGGATCACTGGTCTCGAGCTATATAAAATCAGGTATTCTGATGGATAAAACATGATTATGCAGAATGATCAAGATTCCTAAGAATTCGGGTTCTCTGTATATTAGACCATGATGTTATAGAATATTATTTATTATATTTGTTGATCCTGAAATTAGTTTTTGATTTTCATTTATTATGTTCATGTTACTTTTGCATTTATTTTATATTATATAACAAACAATACTGTTCGCCCCATTACTTGATACATAAGGCCAGACAATATCATAATGAATTTTCAATAGCTTCTATGGAGGTCGTTTGTGTGAACGGTCACGTCCCCGTCCGCTAAGAATGGTAACTAACTAAAAGGTCAAAGAATTAAAAGATAATCAAAAACATTACACAAACGGATCTAACGAAATTGTGAAATTTATTATTTATCATTAGAATGCTGACGTTTTGAGGCACGCTTCCAAACAACATGGGAGTTGAATAGTCGAGTCAACTGGGTATAAAATGACACTAATTTAATAAACAGATTTAAATAATCTTCCACTTTTATTTATATTTTACGGAATTTATATTTGAAGGGGTCAGAAGCAAAACCGCCTAAGTAGCAAAATACACATTTTGAGAAATAAAGCATCAAAGTTTTTGCTCTTTTAAAAATTCTGGATGTTCAAAATTAAAAATTTTAAAGTATTAAACAATTCAAAATAAGTACAAAATTTTAAAGATACTTCTGGTGAGAAATTATTTTAGTTTTTTTTTACCTCTTTCGACAAAAAAATGCACTT